TATATATATATATTCATTCATTTGAACTTAAAAGAAATTTTTATAATTGTGTGCATGTAAGTTCTGAGCTCATTGTTAATTTTATCTCTTATTTCTAATGATAAGATGGAATATGATTTTATTATACTTCTCTTCTCTTCCATTTTGAAATTGTTTGGGGAAATGATACCTTGACTCGATTCTTGTTTTGTTCATGTTTTGCAGATGAATAATTGCTTGTTGAATAGTGGAGTTGAGTTGGTGTTGATTATGATGAACTAACATTTTTGATTGGCTGCTACTTGTATTTCTCATTGACTGACTATTGTTCAACTTGGAGGTTCACATACACTTTGCAGTTTCAATTTTTGGGAAGAATGATCGTTTATCTCTATTGATGATCCCCAGCTTTTAGATTCATTGCTTACAATTTTTGTTACTTTGAGTTGATGTTGTTTTTGATTCAGATTTATCTGCATTGTGATGTAGCTTATGATTTTTATGTTGTTTCTTTGTATTTTGTTTCTTTTTTGTGTGATTTTGAGTTATATATTTATGTTATACCTTTATGTATTTATTTGGATAGAATAGGGGCGTGATTTTAATTTCCCGAAAAAAAAAATGGTGTGAAGAGGGAGTGGTCGGTTTTCTTGGTTTCTCCACCATTCGCTAAGTTCGCGGATAACACGCCAGCTGCGGATAGGCTAGTGGCACGCCATATACTTTGCTGAAAAAATTTAAAAAAAAAAAAACTCAACTGGAAATTCTATTTTTCTACCAAGAGGAGAGGCGAGGCAAGTCCTGCCTGCTCGCTCGCTTTCCTACCTAGCGAATTAAGAAATTTGTTTTTGCTCGAAGGTGAAAAAAAAGAAATGGTATTCAGTGGTGCTGTGATGGCGGCTGCAGTCGCTTCCCCGTCTCCTTTGTTTTGCTTTTCGGTAGCCAACCCTAGCCCCTTCTCCATGTCCTTTACCTTCAGGAGGGCGGGTCGCTCAACGAGGTCCGCTCCTTTTCCTTCTCATGTCTCTGCATGTTTAATAACATCTCATTTTCTACATTCCGATTTTACCTGCTCAAGTTCTCACTGTTTTGTTTAATGAATTTGATGAATTGGACGAGTCATCGCTCTCCTTCCCATGTTTATCATAATGACCATGTGAGCTCTCGAATTGGATACACGCCAAACTAAACTGATGAAAATTTCTAATTCCAGCCATACTTTTTGTATGGTTGTAATTCACATTTCTAATTATTATTATTATTATTACAAACCAGAATTTTCTTAAAGGGTTGTAGAATCAAATCTTTCCATACAAAGTGGATTAAATGGCCGAAATTGAGGACTTCGGTTCTTCGCATACCATGTTAATGAATAGTTTTAGAATCGCTTATCTATGTAATTGCAACCGCATAATAGCTTGCAGTAGCTCCTGTATAACAAAGTTCATATTTGTTTGATTTTTTATTTTACCCATCTGGTCATTGGGATTAGGAGACGTGCGTTTTTTTTTATGTAAGGGGCAGTTTCTTGGCTCTTTTCTAATAAGATTTATGCTGGATTTTGCATAAATCCAGCCAAACGATCAAATGTGCTCACGTTAAATCCAGTGAGCAGTTAAACCTACTCTCATTTCTCGTCTATCTGGATTTACTAAATCTAGTGAATTTGTGGATTTAACGTATTTTTGTGAAATTAAGAGGGAGCTCCTGCTGCAGCCCTATTTCTTCAAGGAGGTCGAGCAGGTTTTAACTTCAACCATGCCAAACAATTTTGTGAATTAACCACTTCAGGGTTGTTATTATGCATAGTCTGATTGTGTTAATCTATTGTTTATTCAGAGCCATAAAACTTGACGTTGAGCTTGCCAAGGGGTACCAGGGTCCCCCTATATTGAGTTTTGGGGGTTGCACCCCCATAAAAATTTTTTCAATACACAACAACCCAACATTGAGCCATCAACACCTGAAATACAGCATCTGAACCTCCATTTTAAGTTCATAACATGAGTGCACGACACTGCAACTCCTTGAAGTCAGCGCTCCAATGCCCCTTTGGAGTGCCTCAATGCCACTATCATGGCGTCCTAGTGCTAGTAAACAAATTTGAGGAGTTATACGCTTAAAGTTTTTGTTTTATCGATTGAAGTGTATTGGATTTTGATTTCTCTTGTGCAAATAAAAGGATAAGGGTGTTTTGTAGTGCTTTAAAATGCAGAGATACTTGAATGCGATGTAATTTTTATGATTCTCATCATTTTTTTTTCATATTCTATTTCTTAGTTTGGTGTGGCTCTATGATTTCATTTCCAATTATCGGTTTTTTCATGTTAAACTTTTCATTTTTCGTGATTTTCTTGTTTTGCACGCTTATGTTTAAAGTTTGCTTCGGTTCTCTTAAATCAATTGTTGCTATTTAATCACATCTTGTAATAAATGGTATCAAGATGGGGGTTTCTAAAATTCTTTGGTTAAAATGAGAGCAATGACTGTCAAAGCGAGGGACAAGATTGAAAAGTTCGTTGGTTCAAATTTTGCTTTTTGAAAAATGTGAATTGAAGATTTATTATATCAATTGAAATTGTATTTGCCACTGTATGGAATGACCAAGAAGCAAGAATTGATGACTCTAATAGATTGAGAAACTTTTGATTGAACAACTCTAACTTTGATCTGACTTTCACTTTTATCATAGTTGCTTTCAACATTGTGAATAAGAAGATTATTGTTGATCTTATGGTTGCACTAACAAGAATATATGAGAAGCCTTCGGCTTATAATTTTTTTTTAATGAAGAGATTATTCAATATGAAAATGGTGGATAGAAGCTCAATTGCCAAACACTTGAATAACTTCAACGCTACGACGAGGCAGTTGTGCTATGTTGACTTTAAGTTTGATAACTTGATAACGAGGTTAGGCCATTAATAATCTTATCTTCATTGTCAGATAGTTTGGATGAACTAATTACTGTGGGAACTCTTCAGGAAACATGAAATTGAACTTTGATGATATTGTGGGATTAGTGCTAAATGAAGAATTTCACAAGAAGAAAAGCAATAAAACTTCAAATTCTACCGTTCATGTTGATACTAGAGGAAGGAATCTAAAGATCCAAGTCTATGAGAGGAAAGTTCTGGTCAAGGAAAGAAAAAGACAAATCTGAATGTTGGGACTGTGAGAAGAAATGTCACTTTAAGAAAGGTTGTAAAGCTCCGAAGAACGTTAGCAGTGGAGGTTCACATAGAATTAATTTTTTTTAAATGTCTAACACATGAAATCCAGGATGACTTTTTATTTTTTATTCCTAGATAACATTGAATCATGGATTGTAGATTTAGATGTTTCTTTTCATGCTAGCGCCAATAAAGAGGTATTTAAAAATTATACTCAATCTGATTTAGGAAAGTGTATTTGGGATATAACAGTAACTGCAATATTATTGAAAAGTTTGATATTGTTATCAAGTTGACAAATCAATTAATTTGAAAATTGAATGAAGTCATATATATTCCATGTTTGAAAAAAAAATTAATTTATGTGAATCAATTTGCAAAGTTAGGGTATGTGATTACTTTCATAGGAGATTTGTGGAAGATCATTAATGGTGCAATGGTGATGACTTGAGACAACATTGAAGACATCATTTATCTAATCAACGAGATGTTTAAATCCATTGGAATAGTTGGAACAAAAGATGATGCAGATCTTCGACACTATAGACTTGGCCATATGAGTAAGAAATGTATAAAGTTATTCATTTCTAAAAATAAACTCTATGGTTTAAAGTCTATATATTTAAATTTTTATAAAAACTGTACTTACGAAAAGCAAAAAAAAATTACTTTTTGTAAAATGGGGTAAAATTGAAGTTTAAAAAATTGGAGTTAATGCATACTAATATATGAAATACAACTCCAGTTCAATCTATTGAGTTTTCTCTATATTTTGTTACTTTCGTTGATGACACATCATAAAAGTATGGGTGCATTTCCTTAAACATAAATATGATGTGTTTAATGTGTTTAAGAAATGAAATATCGTGTTGAGAATGAGATAAATTTAAGTTTGAAATGTCTCAATCAGATAGTGGTGGTGATCATCATGATGAAAGATTCAGAAGTTATTGCACTTCAGAAGGAATTAGATATAAGTTTACTGTTCCAAGGATACCACAACAAAACAGTGTTGTCGAGTGCTTGAATAAAACCACACAGAGCATGTCAAAATTATAAGGTTGCATGCAGGTTCACCAGAGTAATTTTTTACAAAACTTGTGAACACTGCAATTTATCTGATCAATTATAGTCCATCAGTATCTTTGAATGAAAGCTTACCTGAAGAAGCTTGGAGTGACAAAGTTCAATCATTTCACTTGAAAATATTTGATTATTTACCATATACTCATGTTGATGTAAGATGTAGGAGTAAGCTTGATTCAAAAGCTATCAAGTGCACTTTGATTGAATATGATTCAGATAAATTTGATTACAAATTCTGGGTCTATTAGAGTAAAAAATTTATTTGGAGTAAATATGTTACTTTCAATGAAATGGAATGTACAAGGACATAAATAAAATGCAAAATTCTGGGTCTATTAGAGTAAAATTTATCATAAATAAAATGAAGATACTAGTGATCATGGGAAATTCCTTAGACACCTATTATTGAAGGCATAAGGTTCATTAAAATCTCATGACCGACACAGAGGTATTCTCATTTATTGTACTATCTATTGCTAACTGATATTGATATATCAGAATGTTATCATGATATGGTTGCAACTGAACCGAGCCGAGTCGAGCGGGTTGTATTCAAGCTTAAGCTTATTTATAAAATTTGTTTGTGAGGCGAGTTCAAGTTCAAATCAAGCTTTTGGGTTGTGTTCAAGCTTAAGCTTGCAATAAAATTCAAGATCGAGCTGAGTTGGAGCTCTAGTCGAGCTTTATGCTTATGTTCAAACTTAATTTCTATTTGAGTTTGATTCTTGTTCATTTCATATAACGATAATCAAGTCATTATCAAGCAGATTAATGAGTAAGTTATTGAGCTACTTAATTTTTATCCAAACAATATTTATTGAGCAAATTAAAATGTGTTATCATGTTATTTATTTTCTTACTAAATAAAACTTATCAAACAAAATAATGAATAGTATGATTGAGTTATTTGTTTTCTAATCAAGCGAGATTTATCGAGCTTATATATGAGTTACTTGTTGAACTTATAAAAAAAAATAAGTTTTTAAATGAATGAGATATTCAATGAATAACTAAAATAAGTATATATAAATGCGTAAAATAAATGAACTAAACAAATAAGTCTTTATCTTGAGCTTATTCACAAGCTTAAATTAATCTTTAACTAATTTTATTTATAAGCATTAAAGCGATCTTATTTATAAATTTTAATGAAACTATTTATCGAGCTTCTTAATGAGCTTAGTCGTGAGATTTAAATGATATTATTCACAAATATAAGTAAATCAAACAAGGAGGTGCTCATACTTCTTCATTTAACCATCGAGCATTTATAAAAGTATTTGAAGTTGTTCAATTAGTTAATCAAATGAATGTGAACGAGCTCTTTTTGAGCCAAGTACGAGTAACTTGTCAAACACTTGGTTCATTTGCAACCTTAATAATGAGGCCATTCAAGTAGATTCAAATGAGTGGGAGTTTGTCATGGATGATAAGATGTAGTCATTATTATCAAATCAGACATGAGGATCGGTAGATTTATCGTATAGCAAAAAGGTACTACACATCAAGTGGATCCACTGGCTGAAAGAATAGTCAAATGGTTGCAAACACGTAAGACAAGACTTGATGTCAAGGGATTTCAATAAAAAAGAGTGGACTACAATAAAACATTTTCTTCTGTAGTGAAGGTGACAACTATCAAAGTTGTGTTGAGTTTATTAATAGTGGAAGATCTACATCTGGAGCACATGGATATGAAGATTGCCCTCTTACATGGTTATTTATAAGAACTTTACATGGTGCAATCACAGGGATATGAAGTTTCTGCAAAAAAGATATGATATAAACTGAAGAAGAGCTTTTGTGATTTGAAGCATGCACCAAGACAGTGGTCTGGGAGATTTGATAGATTTATGTTAGATAGTGGGTACATGAAGTGTCGATCAGATTATTTTTATTTCATTAAATATTTTGATAATCGCTATTTTATTCTTCTATTGTATGTAGAGAATATGTTGATTGTAGGATCAGATATGAAGAAATTTAGTGATTTGAACAAGCAATTACCAAGAGAGTCTGAAATGAAGGGTTTAAGTCCAACAAAAAAATTCTCAGTATGAGAATCGGTTGGGATAAAAGTGAAGTACATTGAAGTTGTCTAAAGTAGAATATGTTGACAAGATCTTACAAATCTTCAATATAAGTGAGGCAAAATTTGTTTCGCCACCCCCAAATTTTTTTCCCCCCCCCCCCCCCCAGATAGTCTTTTAAACTAAGGAACCATCACTTAAATCTGAAGCGGAGCAAACACAAAATTAAAGAATCCTATATACTTTAGCTGTTTAAAGTTTGATGTATATGATGATATGTATATGATTAGATATTGTACATACAGTGACAATGGTCAGTCGGTACATGAGTAATCAAAACAAACATCAACAAATTACGGCGAAGTGGATGCTCAGATACTTGTGAGGAACAGTCAACAAAGCACAATCTTAAAAGTGTAGTGATTAATTTACAGGGATATGTAGATTCAAATATTGTAGAATATATTTTTAGTAGAAGATGTACCTGTTATATCTTCATTTTGTGAAGCACAACAATAAGTTGGCTTCCAACTTACCGAAAATTGTTGTTTTATCAATTATAGAAGCTGAGTATATTATTATTATTGAGTTTGGTAAGAAAATGATTTGTCTATAGTGTTTTATGGCAGAACATAGCAAGGAGAAATGGAATGGAAAATTTTACAGTGACAATATGAGTGTCATTCATCAAGCAAAGAATGACACATTTTATTTCAAGGCAAAACACATTCAGTTAAGTTACCATGCCATTCATTCACTTCTAGAAGATGGTCAATTATTTTTGGAGAAGATACATACATGTTGACTAAGGCTATGACACTGAGAAATTGAAGCTATGCTTAGCTTGTGTTGGAATTTAGGAAGATTGAGATTGGGATGAGCCACGCTACAGTTCAAAATTATGAAAATTTGGTGGAGTTGGATTGATTGCAATCAGTCTCTAAGTATGAGATTGTTAGTATGTGGAGTCTAATTTTTTTTTAATCAATTGTTAACTCAAAGCCCTCAATTTTGCTGATCAAGTTTGACGGTTAGTTTTCCAAGGTTGTTCTCTCCTTGTATTGGGTTCAGAAGTGCAGCCCCTAAAAAAAATTTTTGTATTGGGTTCAAGTGTGCAGCGCCGAGCCAGTAGTGCCTCAGCGCCAAGAAGACCGTACCGCAGCGCCCAATCTAGGTTAAGAACCCGAAAGCATGACATTTCAACGCTTGATATTTTGTGCCCCAACAATTTTTTGGAGCACCTGAACGCCACTATCACTGTGTCCTTGCGTCAGTAACCGAATTTGAACAGTTCTCTGCTTAAAGTTTCAGTTTTGCCTATTGGAGTGTATTTGATCTTGAATTCGCTTGTGCAAAGTAAATGAAAGGAGTGTCCTGAAAGTTCCAAAGTGTGGATAGACTTGAGTGTGGTGTAATTTGTATGATGTTCCTCATTTTCTTCATAGTGGATATCATGATGCGGCGTGGGTTCGTAGTTTTTTTCACGTTCTTAGATTTTTTTTCCCCGTTTAATATTGTGTTTCTGTGCTTTCCTTGTTTGGTGCACTTCTGTTCAAAGTTTTTCTTGGCACCCTTTGAAGCTGTTTCCACAGTTTAATCATATTTGCCCACAAGGATTTGATAAATCCAAATTTACAGGATTTACTAAATACTATTTAAGTTAAATTTTACTTGCACCAAACTACCCCTAAGGTTGCACTTCTGAGCTTTCAACTAAGCGAGTGAAGTGCCAATGTATATGCATGTAATGTTGATTCTTTTTAATTTTGGCATGTATATATTTTGTTCAAGAAAATTTGAAATTTGCTCGGGTGTAAAGTTAAGATATGATGATGATTATCTCGTGCATTTAGGGAAAAAAAATAGATGTACTATTCTATGATGATTTAAAGCTTGCAACTATTTGGATGGCAAAAGTTTTGAAGAAGAAAATTAACATGACACAACAAGAGAAAGGAAACATGAATGTTCCATAGAAAAGTACTGAAAGGCCTTCCAAGATTGTATATCAATAGTTCATAAATATTAGAAGCGCCTATGACCCTCTTTCCAAAAATAAAAAATAAAACTACCAATTATAAGTTCCTGCAGGCCTCCAACTCTCGTCTCTGTTAGCCTTGATACAAGAGAACAATATAAGGATTGGTTTTGCAATACTAATGACAACATTTTTCTGTTGAAATGCTTTTATGCCTGTTGATGATTTTTTGTGTTTTTGGTCCGCGATGTCCAACGAAAGCCATATGAGGGATCTCCTTATGCTTTGAACTGTTTCAATATCAATGGTTGGCATCATGTGATTTATGCTTGTTTTTAGCTGTTTTTTTTTATTATTATTATTAATTTTTTTCATGTTAAATCAGAAAGTTATACCTTAATGTCATTCTACATTCCTTCCTTGGTTGATAGTCTATAAGACCATATTGTTTTGTATGCCATTTTCTTAAACATAGATGCTGAATGGCTGATCCTAGATTTGTTAAACATCCATTTTGCAACGTCTGGCCCTTGCTTTAGCACAAATCGGTCATGGTGTTGTCATTTTTATTGCGTTAGTTTACTTCTCTTTAGAGAACAGGGAATGATATCCCAGCGGGAACTTAATTTTTGTTAGAAAAGGTATCTGGATGTTTGATTGTTGGAAAAGATAAAACCTTCTGAGGAGGCACGGGAGTTCCAAAAGCATGATTAAATAGCAATATGAAGACTTTGCATCATTCCTAAAGATGAAACGTTCTGTATGGACCATGATTGATACTTTGGTTTTGAATAATTCTCTCATTTTGCACCTGGAATTCACTCTGTTCCTTTCTGGAAGTAACACCACTTTTAAATTATAACTAATGAAGCTGGCCTTATTAGCTATGCAACTAATTTCCTTTTTTCTTCAGCATTATTTTCTCTTTACAACTTTCAGGAGGAGTTGTCATGCTACAGTGAAGGCATCGTCACGTGTAGAGAAGTTCTCTAAAAGCGATATTATAGTATCTCCATCTATCCTATCAGCAAATTTTTCCAGGTTGGGCGAGCAGGTTATTTCCAATCTCTTTTAATAGAAGGATTTGAAGCAATTTAGCTTAACAGCTGTAACCAAACAATTTTATTGTTTATGTTGCAGCCCGTGTTTTAAATTTCAATCCCCTGCAATAAATTGAAATTTTTTATTTATCTTTTTCGCTGCCCTCCTTATAAGAGCACTGTGTTAAACATTCTTTATTACGATTGCCTTTCGGAGGAGAATGAGAACTTGGAAGGAAATTTTTGGGAGACAATTTCAAATCCCTTACCAAAATGTGTTCTCTCATCCCCGCCATTCTTTCAGAATATGGAAAAAAAATAATCAAAATACTCACCCACTCTGTCTCAACTCTATCGCAGTTCTTCCTTGCGTCATCTCCCACTCTTTGTACCGCCAGGTTCTCTCAGTTCCTCTATCACTCGCTCTGTGCTGGTTTCACAAACAACTCCAAGCCTCCAAGTCCATCGTAAATTCTAAACTCTAAAACTGCACGATTTTCTGGCAATGTCTCTGTTTTACTCAACTCTGGAAAATCTCTATCACAACACCTGCGACTTCCCAACGATGTTCACCTCCTTAATCGCTGATCTCTACTAATTCCGGAAAGCTCTGGCGTTGTCTTTATTCAACCTGCTTGACTCCGTTACCCACTGCTCCGTCCTCCTTCCCTTGCCAAACTCAGGCAACAACCGTGCTAAACCTCTGCCAGTGATGCCTCTCATCTTCTCGCATCTCCACAACAAATCGTTTCCAAGTGCAGCTCCTCATCTCTGACAATCTAAGCACCAATTTAACTCTTGCTACAAACTCACCAGCTCAAGACTACCTCAGTGATGACCTGCAACGTCTCTCCATCGCTTTTCTGTGAGCACCAATCTTTGCCCCTCAAACTCTCAGAACTCATTCTGGACGAACTAGAATGTGACAGTGAACTTCAATAGCTCATCTATTTATGGGTAGAATATTTTCTGTGGAGTTCATTCGAACAAAACACAGATTAAACTCTAAACAAAATTGGACCACTTTAAGCACGTAATTAAATTTTAAATTGCAATATTTGCAACTAAATCCACGGCTAAGGATGTACAACAGACAAAATGAGATTAACTGTGAACTTGAAAAGAAAGTTTGTGTACATTTTGCGAAACACTTCTACTTTAGAGGCATTTACATGCATACCACGCAATTCTTAAATATTTATGCTCTAACCCCTAAGCTCTTATATTTACATAACACAAATCTTTTACATCCCATCAAAAATATCACTATCACTAATTTTTTAAAAGTGAAATACTCTATTACATACATATTTTGCTTTAAGCAATTAAATTTGCGCATTTTTTAGATATTTATGTGCTCTGCTGGCGCATTAAAAGACATGCAAACATGCTAAAATAAAATCTTGTGCCTTGAATAAATAAAAAAAGTGTCATCTCTTAACTATGATCAAATATTTAGAAGTAAACTATTGTGCACGTGCTCTGATAATTTTACCCTTATATAAATCTAAAATCATAATCGCTTCAAAACAAAATTGCTTGCACTAAAAATAAGGTACGCTCGAGTTTTCCTTGCTTCGAGAACCATGCAACCACTTTGAGAAGTAAGCAATCATTTAAAAATTCACAAACTCTCCCTCAAACTCAAACCTATTATTATATGGTTGTGTGATATATCAAACAGGCCACCTTGCCTTTTCGGCAGGGTTGCGAGTTTGATCCTCCACATCTCAAGAACTAGAGTTGACAAGTTTTATTTTATAAATTTGAAACAATTGTGATTCAAAGTAATTTTATTTATAGCAATGAAAACAAACAAGATGCAATGTTGATTTACTGTCTGAAAGGTAGATCGTCTTTCCACAAACCCTAAATGTCTGCAGTCAAACAAAACATAAAAACAAACCTTAGGCAATTAACCCTCATAAGCATTTCCAAGATCCTCTTTCAAACTTTCCCCCCAAAACCCCTCTTGATTCCTCTCTTGTACGTGATTAGCAACTATGTGGATCTTACCCAGGCACTGAAATCGGCTCAGCTTGGGCAAGTTGGTGAGTGATGGCCTAGATCGGTTCAATTTGGACCGACTTGCCTCTCCTATCGGCTCTCCCTTTTGTCAAAATAGGCACAGGGGTATCATAATCAGATACTCGAATATGAAATTTGCTAAGATTTTTTATTTTATGCTTTTGCAAGCCCCTCAAATCTTTCAACAAAGGAAACTCATAGCTGGTGGGAAAACACAAATTTCAACTGCAGTTTTTGGAAAGTGAGGACAAAAAGCAGTTTTGCCAAGTAAAAAAAATTGTGGTGCGACATAGTACCGTTGCCCCAAACGCGGCCTAAATATGGTTACAATCAGGGCCTTATAATTGAGTGATTCAACATGGAATTTCACCATTAAATTACATATCTACAAAGTCTCCTTAAACGACATAATCATTGCTGCTGACACATGTTAAGTTGGGTCGACTTTCTCTTTTGATTAAGTAGACCAGAGTCTGCGACAATTTAAGATGATAAAATTATGGTATCTTGATAACATTATTATCATTCCTCTCATTATTTACCATAAGTTATCTTATATATTTTATTAACTAAATTAAATCATTGCTACTATAACATTTATATTTAGTGCTTACTAACTAGTCTTCATTAAAATTCTCTTTTATATCTATGAGGGATAATTGACTATTCGGGCTTGCGCTTATGAGAAACATCAAATCAGATTACATAATTTTAGTAAAATGCGAGCAAAATATCTAGCGTCTTATCAATATCCAATCTACCTTTTAATGATTTATCATGAATGCTTAGAAAAGCTGTGCATGAATATTTTATGACCACACTTACCGTCATCATGAAGGAAGTCCAAGCTTGCCTAAAACTATTAGGAAGGCCGTAGATGATCCAAATTGAGATGGGTAGTAATGCAAGTAATTAATGTTTTGAAAAAAAAATGATACTCGAGATTTAGCAATTCAGCATAATGACACAAATATTGAAGGTTACAATTGGGTATTTACATTTAATGCAATATTATTGGTAGTGTGGAAAGGCATAAGGTTAGAGTTGTAGTAGAAGGGTTGCACAAACTCTTGGGATTGATTCTCAAGAAACCTTTGCTCTAGCTTTAAGATTAATCCTACGCAAAATTTTTTATCCATTGTCGTAAATTACAATTAAACACTTGATCAATTGTGTGCAAAAATTGCCTTTACAACGGTAATTTTTTTTGGGAAAGGTGAGCCCTACCTCACGGTGAAAAACTACACCTTCAATCACTATGTAGCGGGTAAGTGCGCATATAATGGGAATTTATAGAAAGCAATATAGTGTTGGGTGGGTTCGAGAAGAAGCTCATTGAAGATAAAACTTGCATGTCAAACAAGTCTTTACCCAATAGTGTCATTAGTGCGGTTTAGTAAGGTTGTAAAGAACCATGGGTATAGTTAGAGCTAATTATGCTATGCAATCACTCAAATGAAGAAAAACTCTATCTTAATGACATAATATCAATAGTTATTGATATTAATTTATTTCAAAATATGTAGAAGACCTTGCAATAGACTTCTAAGTACAAGATTTTGGAGCCGTAAAATACTTTCTAGGAATGGAGTTTCCGATCCAAGGAGACCTTTGTCACTCTGCAATATTACACTCTTGATTGATTTGATGAACCAGATTGCTAGGATGTATATCTGTTCAAACATCAATTGAATCCAATATAAAATTACACCTTGTTGGAATTGTGTATGTGGTAAATGTGGATCAATTCCAAATACTTGTTTCAAGACTTATTTGCATATCTCACACTCGTTCTGTCATTGCATTTGTTATAAACTGAGTTACTGAATTCATGCATTCACCAAGGCAGGAGCATTTTGAAGCAACTTATAGAATCTTAAGGTATTTAAAAGTAACTACTGGAAAAGGAGACACCTACAATTATAAGTTTTTATAGATGTAGATTGTGTTAGGAGCAGTGTTGTTCAAAATTAACCTTTTGCTATTGTAAATATATTGAGATGAAATATGATTGTATTGTGAAGCAAAAAATAAAACAATTTGCCTCAAAGCAGTATTGAAGCCAAATTCAGATCAATGGCATGAGATTTATGAAGCTTTCTAGATCAGGAGATTAATATAAGAATTGTAAACATAACTAAATTTCATTGTGAACAATGCAGACATTGCATTGTTGACCTCTAGAAAGCCAGATGCTGAAAGACATGCTAATGGTTCGAATCTATATTTTCTTTAGTATCAAGCATGATATCCATTGCCAAGGTATTTCCTCTCGGTTCTCAAGTAACCTGTGTTCCTTATATTCTAATCTTGGTGCGGCGACTTGAGTTGGACAGCTTCTTAACGAACACTATTGGTTTTTTCATGTTACTTCTAAGGTCTCTGCAGTTTTCCTTCCAAAGTATTGCTTTTCTTTACTAGCAGAATCAAACTGGCAGATTTCCATCAGTCTTTCGAATGAAATTTTTATTTTCACTTCTTTAGATGATATGCATTGAGTTTATTCAGGTAAAAGAAGTGGAGATGGCTGGATGTGATTGGATCCATGTTGACGTAATGGATGGTCGTTTTGTCCCCAACATCACCATTGGTCCTCTTGTTGTTGATGCTCTACGGCCAGTTACTGATCTTCCTTTGGATGTGCATCTGGTACTGTGCACTCTTTCTTCACACACCGTTCTTCTACCTTTTTTTTTTCTATGCGGTAGCTTAGAACACTCTCCTTTTTTTTCTCAAAGTGATAGTCAACTTACAGATGATTGTAGAACCTGAACAACGAGTGCCGGATTTTGTTAAGGCTGGTGCAGACATTATTAGCGTACATTGTGAACAATCTTCCACTATTCATCTGCATCGAACAATTACTCAAGTGAGCTCAACTGTTATCTGCTGCCCTTATTTGAGTACATTCAAATGTATCCTTAAGTAATGTTGTGGCATTTGTTATTTGTTTTGTGTTAATGTTCTTTTTCCAAAGAGGTTGATTAATATAGAATGATATCTTCTATAAGAGTAAACATATTTTGCTGTATAAATCCTGCTATCTTATGTATATATTATAGCCGTTTTGAATTTATGCCATTTGAAGTTTTTCACCAATTTATGCCATTTATCTACTTGATTCAGTGCTTTTTTCTTACAATTTCAGATCAATTTGATATATCTGCTTTTTGTATTTTAGATTAAAAGCTTGGGAGCCGAAGCTGGGGTTGTACTAAATCCTGCAACACCGCTAAGTGCCATAGAATATTTGCTTGACGGTAAGCATGATTGTTTGGCCTTTGCATTTACGTTAAGAGCAACTCCCACTTGTTGTCATATCAAGATTATTCTTATACCCGAAGGTATTCTCAAAATTATACCCATAGGTACATTCAAAAATTTATACCCGAAGCTATACTTTTATCATTTACCTTATCGTGCCCGGGTTGCATCCCCTGTCAATACCATTTAGGGGTAATCATGTATGACCTAAACATTTACATTTCATTTTTTTTCATTACTTCCATCCATTTAAAGTCATTGAAACTGATATTTTTCATTTTTAATTTTTACTTCATTTATTTCAACAATTCTTTCCTTCACAATATACTTCAGATTATAAAATCAGGCACAAGAAACAATAATGCAGTTATTCATTAATAAAATCTTAATTTAATAAACAAGAAAATAATTACTCACTTTAAGCCTTAAATGATCTTTGAAAAAGTTTATTTCTCTACTTCTTTTGACTGTCACCTATATGAAATGAATGTGCATACTTTTAGATAAGAATTATATTCCTAAAAGGATTGACTAAAATAGATCTAATTTATTTAAATATTTTTCTTTCAAATAACTTTGTAACCAAAATTCTCACTAATATTACTCGTGAAAACTTAAATTTTATTTAATGACATATAATCAAAATTACTCGTATAAATAAGTATACAAATCCTTACCTTAAAAAGTTTAGCTTGTTTTCTTGAGCACAAAATTCCGCTTTTCCCCTTACAATTCTATTTGAATTTGCCTCTAATCTTATGTCTTTACTATTTGATTAAATTAAATCTATTATTAGTATTTAGTTAAGTAAACTATTATTTCAGTTCAATTAGTTAACATCATAAATCCCTAACAAACCTTTGTCTTTAGCCGCACAAAATAGAGCATCGGCTCTCCACTTCACACCCGCAATTTTTTCTCTTCCCTGGTTTAAGAATCACTTTATCTCTCAAATTTGGTACTTGAATAGATTCGATTCTGATTCAGTTAATCCTTCTACACACACTCACACCTAGTGTGTATATATATATATATATATATATATA